ATATATATATACATCAGAATGTTTTTTGAAAAAACAATTGTCCAATTTTTCATTAACAATTTTATACAAACATTTTTCTACAAATATTCTTATGGTATATTGTCATTATTATATTTCAAATATAAAAAAAGAACTGATCACGTAAATTAAATTAAAAACAAAGAAAAGAGTCAATAAATAAATAAATAAATAAATAAATAAATAAATAAATAAAGGGATTCATCAAAATGCAAAATTGTTCATCGTCGAATATTTCAGATTATTTTTTGTTTCTTTTTTTTCTTTGGTCCTATTCGTAAACATGACGTAACATTTAATTGTTTAAACAATTATCTCTTTTGCCACGTATAAAGCGTGCCAATTAAAAATCATGTCTAATAAATAAACATATAAACATGGCGTGTTTACATATTTAAAGTAAAAATATTTATACATGTATACAACACACATAAATATGAAGAATGAACGAGGTTAACCGGGGATTCATTGTTTTAATTCTAACTGAGAGAGAGAAAGAGAGAGAGAGAAAAGAGAAGAATGTTTAAATGTTTAGATTAATAATCCCTATTGTTAAATATGTGTTTTTTTTTGTCATTATCGCAATGTAACTAAAAAAAAAAATATATATATATATATAACTGTTATATTAATAAGTATTGCTGTGCAATGCTAAAAAAAAAAAAAAAAAAAGAGGTTATGTATCCTCTTTTTTTGTCTCATCAATCCTCATAAACTTTTCTTCAATATTTTACTGCACAATTGCTAAGTAATTATATCATTCTTTTTGATACAATGACTTTCAAAATCCTAAAATCATTCTAAATGATAAATTGATGCATTGCCATAAAAAAGACTTTACAAAATATTAAGTACAAAGTTGTCAACTTTTTTATACATATTTCCAATTATAAAAAGAAAAACAAAAAACAAAAAAAAGAATTGAAAAGAAATCTCATTGACGACTTCTAAGAACTGCGACTGCTAACCAAATCGAATTAGTTTTACCAATGTAACGTTTAATATGATAAGCTATGGCAAATTCTACAGGACCAGTAACATGATGCGTTTTAGTAGAAGCTAAACGTTCCGTTAAATCATCCAAATTTGATTGTCTCAAGTTCAATATGAAACCATGCATGTAATAAGCTCTGTACAATTGTTTCAAATCTTTTTTATCCGGTTGCCTAGACGTATTATTATCATCATCATCTTCAATCTTTGAAATGTAATTTCGTAGGACTGCGATAGCATGGCGATTGTAAATGGTTGTTAATTCGGCTGAACTACGCCAATGGGAAAATTTATCACGTAATTGTTGTTCCATTTGCATAGACGAATCACGAAGAGAATCTTCTTCTTCTTCTTCTTCTTGATGATGATGTACGTTCAATTCAAGAACTTGAACGATACGTTCATTAGTAGAAAGTGCAATGATTCCTATTGGACGCCAATCCTTGCTACTTTTCACATCGTATTTTAAATTATTCGCTAATATAGACTTTTGTAAATTCTCCCATATCTATAAAGAAACACATTTGTATATTTAAATGCGTAGTCAAAGTAAGAAACATCATTTCAAGATAAAAAAAAAAATACAAACACTTTCAACTTACACCAGAATGATTAATCAAATGGGAAACTTTAATTAGTGGACAACGACTGTCACCTGGTTTATAATGATCACTAGTTTCAGGATCCCAAATAACAGTGTCTGTATTTTCTTCTATGCTTAAGACAAATGCCGCATATTTACTTGTCTGAGAAGAACCTAAAAAAAGGTTTTATTAAAGTATCAAAAACTATTTAAAAAAAAAAAAAAACAATTCATTTTAACACATATTGTTAATAATACCTAATAGTACGTATGTCTGCGAGCCAAAACTTTCAAGTAAAGATGCAAGTAAGACAGCACGACCATAATGATCAACCTTATTTGCATTTAAAGCTTGACGAGGCGTTAAAGGTCCATAATGATTGGGCACTTCCGGTAATAACATTGCTAATCTAGCCGCTTCTTCTGAACTTTGTATATCCGTTATTTTATATGGAGATAAAAGACAACGTTGAATATTTTTTAACAGAGTATTAATCGTACTATCCTCCATCAATTTAGCATTACCAGGTAATTCTAATTTCATCAGAGTATAAATTCTTGTATGAGAATGACCAGGACTGGCTTGTACATAACCAAATAACATTTTGGGACTACACAAAGGTGACAAGGCTACCCAACGTTCCAATTCTTGATAATTTCTATGATGTTCAAGAGGTATTCTTGCTTCACCTAACCACTGTTGACCCCATACTGGATGCTGATCGTACAAACGTAACTTTACATTGTAATCCCTATTCTTTCTTGGTAACTCAAAGTGCATAGTTTGATGCCATATCGGTGCTGGACCATCTGAGATTGGGGTAGTATGAATAATACCACCCCATTCTACTTCTAACAATGGTTGAACCAATGCTGATTCTTCTCTAATTGGTATTTCAACTCCACGTAAAATTGTAATGGAAAGAAGAGCTTTACCAATTGTGTGATGTCGATGCGTATTGGAGGATGGTCTTAATGGACGCCTTGCTTGTAATAAATTTCTAAAAGATAGATCCAAGAGAGAAAGAATGGGTTGTTCTATCACAGCTACATCTGGAGGTTTCATTATTTGTTCATCCTTTTTTTTAATAACAAGATTATCATCCATATTTTCAAAACGCAATGCAGGATCTTCCAATAAAAAATATTTGATTTCTTTATTGGATATATTTTTTCTTGGTCTATGTAAAGAAAGTGCATTTTGTGGATCATTCGGATCATTGCTTAATCTATGCAAATATGTTGTAGTAGTAGTTTCTTCTTGATTTGGACAATGTAAAATTAAAGATACGGTACATGTTACAGTACCTGAATGAATTTTTCCTGAATTATCAGCTATACCAAATTCAATCTCAATATTATTATTTTTAACCGAATGTTTTGGCAATGGTAATGGTAAAATAGTTGATTGACCATCTTTAGAATTAACTTCTATCGAAAGATTATTACATTCTGAATTTCTTAATAATAATTTATGTAATTTTCTATTAAACGGTTTATTAGTCTTACATATAACTTTCTTTTTAAATAAAAGTGAAACAGAAGTGATTTCAATGCTTGGTTCGCTATGATCATTTTTAGAATAAATGTCTACGCTACGTATTACAATTTCTATTAATTTTCCGGATAATTTTGGTGTTGTTTCATGATCTAACATACTTATATTATTAAGTAAATATGGTTTCGTTACATTACGTGTAAATGGATTACTTGAAGTATATAATCCATCTTCTATCAATGAAGTTTTGTCAATTTTTTCACGAGGACTATTAACATTTTTTATTATAACACTGTTCATCTGTTGATCGTTATTTATTATAGGATAAGCATAATTAAGACTAAGATCTTGTTTATCATTATTATCTAATTTTTCTTTCACAAAATTCATATTTTAAATATATTCATCACTTGTTCTGTTACACATACACTACGATGATGACACTTTTACTGTATTATTTTGTGTATACGACTATGGTTTCCATAGTAACGTAAGTACACGTGATAAACTACTCTACTACATTTCATTGATAATCGATATATTTACTAACAGTAGATTATATGGAAAAATCTTTTAAAAAGTCACGTGATCATAAGAATTTTCATTCAAGTAAATTATTTTTTAAAAAAGGAATCTATCTTATCGACATTCGGTAAGACCAAAGTGATAGAATTGGTAAGACAGACTTCTACTTTTTTAGTAATTTTTTTACCGAGCATCGATAAAACAGAATTTTATTTTACCAAACTTTTTGTTTGAAGTTAATATTTCTACTACTATGCACTTTTGGCAGCATATGTATTTGTATATTTATTAGCCTTGATATCACTGTGACTACCTTAAGTATTATTAATTTTAATCATTTTTAATGTTAGTGTTTATAAATTTGATTATTAAAAAAAGAAAAAGAAATTAGTGTTATATTATTTAAAATTGTATTTAAATTTGGTGAAAAATTTAGTAGAAAAAAAAAATGTCGGAAGACGAAGTGGAAAGTTTTGAGATAACCGATTATGATTTGGACAATGAATTTAATATTAATCGTCCTAGACGAAAACTTACGAAAAAACAACAGATGCTTGGTAAGAATTTTAAAACAAAATATTAATTAATATTTATACAATGATGAATTAATAAGTTTGAAAAATACATTGTTTTTTGAGGTTAGGATACAACTATTAAGAATGTAAATGTTCATAACCTAAGTGACATTATTATTTAATATTATTTTAGGCATTTGGGCAGATGACAGCGATGAAGATGAACTTTCAGCAAGACCATCATTCAAAACGTATAATAAAGGACCAAAGAATTACACAGTTCCAGTTAATTTTGTTGCTGGTGGTATTCAACAAGCTGGTAAAACAACCGAAGAAAAAGAAGATAAAGACAAAGATGAAGACGAGGAGGATGATGCAAACACAACCCAAAAAGATGAGGAATATTTTAATAGTTCAAGGTATTTATTATAAATAATTGAACAATAATCAATCACTTATATATTTTTATTTTCTAATTAATTTCTTAAAATATTTCTAGCTCGGAGGATGAGAAACCAAGTAATTCTAAACAACGTGCATCATTTTCAATGAACGTTGAAGGTGATATAGCTGGTTTACGTAAAAAGAGATATCAAGTGAATCCTTCGTTTATGAAAAGTGGTGTTGGTAGTTGGGAAGTACACACTAAAGGAATTGGTGCAAAACTTTTACTACAGGTAAAGATAAATAATATTTTTCTATTATCTTCTTCTTAGGACTTTATCCTAAATTATTTCTAACTAAACAACCTAAAAATGTTATTTTAATAGTTCTGAGAACAATTTTCTATTATAACATAATATAATCATAATTAATTGTAACTAATAAAATAATAATTTTAGATGGGTTTTGAACCTGGAAAAGGATTAGGAAAACAACTGCAAGGAATAAGTGCACCAGTAGAAGCTCACTTTAGAAAAGGTAGAGGTGCCATTGGTGCTTATGGTCCAGAAAAAGGACCCAAAGTTATTGAAAAGAGGAAAGAAGAAACAGAAGAAACTAAAGATTCTAAACCTAAAGTATCTCAATGGCGTAAAGGAGATACAATTAGTAATAAGAAAAAAGTCAAATATTCATATCGTAGTGTTGATCAAGTTCTAGAAGATGGTAAATTAAAACCAAATAGGAAAGTTCCACTTTCTAGTGAAATGAGTAGGGTTAAAGTAATAGATATGACTGGACCTGAGCAAAGAATTTTAAGTGGTTATCATGCGATAGCTAGTGGTCAACAATATCCTGACGAAACTATTCCAAGTGTTAATAAAAAGGATAAGATCAATTTTGCTTTACCAGAATTGCAACATAATTTAAATCTTCTGGTGGACATGTGTGAACAAGATATCATACAAAACGACAGAAGAGCTAGACACCTTAACGACAGGGTCGTAGCTTTAGAAGCAGAGAAAAAAAATTTATCCAAAGTTGTAGATCAACATGGACAACTCATTGATACTTTAGAAAATGTTCTAGCAGTTGTCGATAGATTAATGGACGAAACGAGTGATATAACGTTGCAAGATATTGCTGATGTATTTAAAAACTTGCAAGAGAAATATTACGAGGAATACAAAATGTACGAATTGGGTGATTTGGCAACCAGTTTTGTTGGTCCGAAAATAAAGGATTATTTACTTTCTTGGAATCCATTGATGCAACCTAAACAACCAATTAAATTGTTTGAACAATGGAAAGAAATTTTAGAAACTGGTATGAGTCCACTTCAAACAAGGACGATTTATCCTTACGACCATCTTGTATGGAATGCTTGGATGCCTTCTATCAGAGGAGCTGTACAGTAAGTTTTATGGAATTTTTATTTTCTTTACAATACAAATTCAATTGTTTTATATAAAATGTTAATGAGACTTGTTCTCTTTTTTCTTTTTTTGTATAAATTAGACAATGGGCATGCAGGCAACCAAATCCTTTAATAGAATTATTAGAACATTGGATACCATTGTTACCTGGATGGATTTTTGAAAATATTTTAGACCTGTTAATACTTCCTAAGCTTACATTAGAAGTAGAAGAATGGAACCCACTCACAGATACTGTTCCAATACACACATGGATACATCCATGGTTACCATTAATGCGTAAGTATTTAACAAAAATGTCTTGTTCTTATTTATCCATTAATTCGAATCAACTAAATTAATATTTTAAATAAATATTTTAGGTAATTGGTTGGATACGTTAATATATCCAATTATAAGACGTAAATTGGGTTCTGCGTTAGGTGGTTGGCATCCATCAGATAGATCAGCAAGATTAATGTTACAACCTTGGTCAGAAGTATTCGCTAAAGCTGACATGGAAGCTTTCCTAATTAAAAATATTATACCAAAACTTCAAATAGCTTTATCCGAATTTGTCATAAATCCACATCAGCAACACTTAGATCAATGGAATTGGGTGATAGAATGGAAAGAATTAATACCAGCACACATAATGGCTAATTTACTTGACAAATTTTTCTTCCCTAAGTGGGAACAAGTATTATCATTTTGGTTAAATCATTCTCCAGATTATGATCAAGTTATGAATTGGTATATGGGTTGGAAGGGTATGCTCAGTGATAAATTATTAGCTGAACCATTAATAAAAGGTATTTTACAGGATTATACTATATTTATAAAAATATTTACTTTTTAAGAAGATAACATTGAAATCATTTCTTTATTTTATAGAACATTTCAAGAAGACTATAGATATACTAAACAGAGCAATAAATGCACCACCAAGTCATCAACCAGGAACTATGGATCAAGTTTCGTATTTGAACAATTTGGAGAGGACTCAATCAACGATGATGTCACAAATGCCATCCGTGGTACAACCAAGGATAGAGGTAAATAAATATTTATTTTATCAGTGACTAGACTCTAAGATTTAGTCAGATTTAAGTTTCATATTTAATTTGATTTATTTTACAGAGATTGGCAGAAGCAGTGAGAATAGCAGCACCCCAAATTCATTTAGGTTTTAAGGACCTCATTCAAAGGAAGTGTGAAGAACGTGGAATACTTTTCGTGCCTATTCCAAATAAATACAGAGAAGCTAAACAAGTTTACAAAGTGGGAAATGTACAAGCATATATAGACGGTAAAATGATCTTCGTTTATCACAATGGAGCCAATTGGACGCCGACGAATGTTAATGCCTTGCTCGATATGGCAGAACTTTAGATAGAAGAAAACTTGTTTTAATTTATTTCCAAACAAAAAAATACTATCTTTAATGATACAAATATTTTTTAATAATATTCATATTTTTTTGTTTGTACATATATACATATATTATTGTATAATCAAGATCAATTTTATCCAATTAGAAAAAAAACAAAAAAAAAAAGAAAAATATGTAAAGACAAATATATGAACAACAACAAAAAAAATAGAATTTATACTAACCACGATTGTACATTGTGTAATATTCCAAAAAAAAAAAAAAATAATATTCAATTATTTAATGTAATCACATATCAACTTTGAACGTGTCAATAAGAAGTGTGTTGTTATTTTAAGAAAAAAAAGTACTATGGTTATATATATATATTACAGTTTGTTTTTTTTTTTCATCTTCGATCTTCAATCTTATCTTCCTAGCACTTCTGTTCCGGTCAGTTTCAAGTCGAACGCGTGTAGGCGCCTCTGGTTATCCCACTACCCAAGGTGTAGCTTTTAAAACTCCTCCATATGGAAAGTTGCTTGCTTTATTCCTATGGAACACCCCATACTTGCTTCTCAGAGTTTGTACATATATTTACATATGTGTATGTATGTATGTATATATATAGATGTGCGTGCGTATGCATGTAAAAGAAATAAATAAATAAAGAGAAAGAGAAAAACAGGGCCAATGAGTAGCGTGTATGAAACGTTAGAGGAGGAGGAGGAGTGTGGCGTACACATAAACGATAAGTCGTAGTATCGTTGTGTTGTTAGTATACTAACACTAACGTATGAAAAACGTATACTTGAGAAGAAACTCAAGAGACTGGTCCAGGGAGAAGAGGAAAAGAGGATGGACGTCTTCTCTTCGCCTACGCGTCCGATCCATGCTCTCTCGGGTGTCGAGAAAATTTGCATCGACGCCGAGGACCGTGTGTGTCTGCCTAGTAACCGGCTGTCTCCACTGTCTTCTCTTTTCTTCTCTTTTCTTCTCTTCTTTTCTCTTTTCTTCTCGGCTTGTCCACGACCATAAAGAAGATACATCTCTTCTACCAAGAGATACATCTTTAGTTATTTCAAATTTACATTTATTTTATTATACCATTTTCTTTTCTTTTTTTTCTTATTTACATTTAAACTCGTGTTATTTAATATATTTGAGTAAATAATAAATATATTTTTTTTTTTGAGTATTATTTTTATAAATATCATATCTTTATTTATGGTAATGTTAAGATTTTAATTAATAAGATTCTTAACATTGAATTATTGTAAATGGTGATATGTATAGGATTTTCTGTGTGCCATTTTATTGGCTCTTTTTAGAAGATATTTTAATAAATATTTTTATTTAAATTATATTATTTACAAATTTTGTATTATATTATAATTTTATATATTAATATATAAAATTACAAATATATATTAATATATATAT